TCGTGGTCCAACATAAACAACTTTAAAACATTCCGGTGCATCATAAAGAACTTTAGAACGTCGTGGTGCTACACAAACAACTTTAGAACGTCGTGGTCCAACATAAACAACTTTAGAACGTCATGGTGCTACACAAACAACTTTAGAACGTCGTGGTCCAACATAAACAACTTTAGAACGTCGTGGTGCTACACAAACAACTTTAGAACATCACAGTCCAACATAAACAACTGACTCGAAGTTTATCAACTCATCACAGAACTAACCATACCAAGAAAGTTTTAGTTACTGACAAGGAAATCCGGATCCAGCAGTAGAAAAATTCCATAAAGCTCTATGCTGCTAAACTGTAACTCAGAGTGAACGTGTTATCAAACACACACACACTTGGCTAACGGTACAAAGAACTACAGTCAAAGTTCTTCAGATCAGTGAAAATCTGGAGACAAAAGTCATTCGACTATATAGTCAGTTCTGCAACCGTCTATTACCTTGATGGAACATATCCATCATATTTTAATCCTTAAGTTATTCATTCTTCACTCTCACTTACTCCATAGAAATCCATTACCGTGACAGAAGGTAAAGGCTAAAATGTGGGTCACAAATTGATGTTCTTTATCCAGGTGAAGCTTTTGAATTAGTATTTCTCTGGGTGTCCGCGCTGAATGAAAAAAAAACCACTGTGACGTTTCTCTAATATTATTAATCAGCAGTCGGCTCTTTTTTTTTTTTCTTCTTAGTCCCACTTTTCTTTCGTGCACACAAATTATGGCCATTAGCTTCCATTTCAACAGTATTCGTGGTTTGCCTTTCTAGCGATTAAAACCCTTATATTTCATTTCAATAAAACACTGTATTTGCCCAAAGTAATTATTAAAAGACGATTAGCAGAAATGGTTCGCAAGCTACGCCCCTCCAGTCTCGTGCTTTCATCAATCACTTATTCCACGTGTCCTGAATACAAAAAAAACAAAAAAAAACGGGTCCATTATTTCGGAACTGATCTCATGGGGCAACGCCATGTTGAGCTATTCGATGTTATTAACACCAACCACCATGTTGAGGCTGCAGTAACGACCACTATACTTCACACCTCGAACGTAACACCTCTTATACAAAGATCGTGATATGTAATTACCAAAATACACGTGAAAATACCCACGTAATGAGACATTAACTAAAAAGGGAAAGGCTGTAAAATATTCTTTCGTTTCAGTGGAACAGGATTTTTTCCGAATATGCCAGCAAAATACTAAGTATGTGGGTGGGTTGTTTACAGAATATAAGGGATCATCTTTACTGATTTCACTTCGAAGTTGACTTGATTAACTAACAGATTATTGCCAGTGAGATTTTACATTAAACATTTTAAACTAAATCATTATAATAATAATAAAAAGACAAAACACAAAATATATATAGAAGCAAGAAAACAATACTAACAATAACAAATTACTTTCACACAAACAGTCAACAAAGATATAAGCACAGAACAAAAAGAGACAGTGCAATAATACAAACAGTAACACGTATAGAAGCACACATCACACAGAAAAGGTGAAACAATATCGACAGTAACAGTATAGAAGCACACAACACACAGAAACAGTGAAACAATACTAACAGTAACAAGTATAGAAGCACAGAACACACAGAAACAGTGAAACAATATTAACAATAACACGTATAGAAGCACACAACACACAGAAACAGTGAAACAATATTAAAAATAACACGTATAGAAGCACACAACACACAGAAACAGTGAAACAATACTAACAATAACAAAGAAAGGTGACCAAAATGCAGCCAAACACTACTAACTTTAAAAAGGATTAACGCAAGATGCATTTAAACAGTCAAACGTAGATACAATAACAAGGATAGAAGCTTGTTTAACTTCTTAGGATTTTCGCGCAAAGCTACAGAAGGGCTATTTGTGCGTAACTATCCTAGTTTTGAACTAACAGACTACAGGGAAGCAGCTATTCACGAGCATCCACCACCAACTTTTTGTCTGACTGAATAATAAGATTTGACCTTAACTCTTATAGCGCACTCACAGTCTCAATGTACAGTATGGGTCTTTTGCAACAACGGGACACGAACCATGAACCATCAGATACACAATCCGGGGACTTTGACCATAGGCTACACCTCGTTGAAACGTTAAACATACAGACACACAACGTTTAAAATATCCCGACGTTTTGACAGGTGCAGTAAGTTGTCTGCTTCTGCCGTTAGATGGCAGCGACAAACACTAAAACCAAAACATAAAACATTTCTGTAGTATTAGGTCGTCAAGAAATTAATGTCCTCTTTTTTTGAGATGAAATAACCTAAACAACTTATATATAAAAATAAAACATTTATTGAATAAAATAGTCTCCATTCTTATGTATGATACTTTTCCATCTTA